TTTTCTAAGGGGAACCTCGGGTTATCAGAAGTTGAATAGTATGTTTGGGGGATAAGTGGAATGATATTAGCAATGGTTCATTATGGGCAGTCTGTCAGGGAGTCAGGCCAAATTTGATACTCCAGATTTCAGGTTTCGGCAAGGTACAAGTGGTTTTATGCAAGTGATTAAATATTCATTCATTTTTTGGGTTTGGAGAACTCTACTAAGGCTGGGTTCGACTAAGGGAAGGCCGAATAGGTTGTTCGGTTTCGGCTGTGAAGTTGGGTCCTTGCGAGAGCAGGCTTCGAGGACGAAGCATAGTCCAAGTAGGGGAGAGTTGTAACATCCCGATTCCTAGGTATGTGATTTATTTCTTTAAGCATGTTTTTCCATTGGAAAACATCGTGTTGGAAGCCTCAACACGATATGTTGAAGGCCTTTTGGGCCACGTATTTTTATGGACCAACACGACGTGTTGGTGAGGGGAAACTTGATGTGTTGGCGACTGGATGAGAAACCCTAAATTTTAGGGTTTTGCACCCTATTTAATATCCTTAAGTCCCCAGTGATGATCTTTTATCAGTCTCCAAACCCCCATATCGGCCCTTGTGAACCCTAATCATCCTTCCCTCTCATTTGTGAGCTAGTGTTGTATTTTGGAGCAAAATAAGAAGAAAGTTGAAAGAAGGAAGCAAGGATCTAGAAAGCAAAGCTGGCATCTTCAGTTTGACACTCTTCTGGACGTTTGTAAGTGTCCAAGATCCAATTTTTAGTCCTCTATGTAGCTAGATCTTGAGTTTTATCTCCTTTTCTCCTTATTCTTGGATGTTGCAAAGGATGCACCTCATAAATTTTGCAGCTTTATGAATCTCTAGATCAAGGTGACCTTCTAGTGGCTTGGATCTGGTCTTTAGCCAAGTTTTGATGTCATGCATGGAGTTTAGGTCTATTTCCCCTTTTTTACCCATTTTGGGTTCAATACATGCATTGGACATGCATGTCTATAAAACACCAACCTTTGAGTTGATTTTGATGCTAAAATCTCTTCTGGAAAGGTTGGCGTTCAGATCTCAAGGTTTTTATGCTTATTGATTAAGCCCTTGAATTTTCAAGCCTTTTGGATGAGTGTTTGAGCTCTTGGGTTAGCCCTAAAGGATAAAGTTGGAAAATTTATCCTTTTTGATAGCATTTAAGTTTTGATCTCAGTTTTGGAGGCCCTGGAATCGTAGGAACAACTGAATGTATTAAGTGCGAGCAAACAGGATGAGTTTATTAGCAAACTGGGCGTGTTGGCTATGGTTTTCCTGAACATCTGATTGCTATTGAAACATGACATTTTTATTAGTAAACTTGACGTGTTGGGTCAACAAGGACTGTTGACCTTGACCGTTGACTTTGAATTTGACCATGGCTGATCAAGTTTGACTTCTAATAGTATTTTAGGTATATTTGGATATTGATGGAATTGGTCACATGGTGGTTATGGACATTTGAGTTGGGAGCTTAGATTCGGAGTCAGACCTTATCAGTTCTGCACTACTTGAGAAATAAGTTCCTCATTGTAATTGTTGGGTCGAAGGCACCAAGGTTGGCCCCTTTGGATTGTTATCCTGATTATTGCATGATTAAGTATTGTTGTGATCTGTTAGATCTGTATCTTGGTAGATAGGTTGATGTAATGCTTAGTGATCTGTAAGATCTGTTTGTTTGTCTGCTGTCTGGTTATATGTTTACGTGTAATGTATATGTCGACATGTTATGTGTGGTTGAGTTAAGGCGAACATGCTTTGTGTTGAAGGCCAACAGACCCAGGGCGTCCCGAATAGACTAGTGGGGCGTACCAGTCAGGCCGAATGCCTAGAAAACGTTCCAGATAGGCTGAAGGTCTGAGGTGGCATACCAGTCATGTTGTAGGTTCTGTGAGCGTACCAGATAAACTGTAGGCCAATATGGCTTTCCATTCAAACTGAAGGCTCTGTATGCATGTTGTGTCTTGTATTATTATGGTTTTGTGTTGTGTTGGTATTTTGGGGGAACTCACTAAGATTTGAGCTTATAGTTGTGGATTATATTTTAGGTACATTAGAGGATCGTAGGAAGGCTAAGGCGTGATCATGCACCTCCTCATGTTTTTATTTCACAATTTTGGGGTTTCTCTTATGTTGAACTTATTTTGAAAACAATTTTAAACAATGATGGTATTAAGTAAATTTTAAAAGTTGAATTTTTTTGAGAATTTTATGAATGTTACAAGATGGCTAACCCAATGAAGATAAAGTTTGAAAAATATTGGAATGAATGTTGCCTTGTTTTAGCAGTTTCTGTTGTATTTGATCCAAGATACAAAAAGATTTTGGTTGAGTACTACTATAGTAAGATCCATGGTTCTCTTTCAGTTTCATATGTTGAAAATGTTTGTAGTGCTTTGATTGAGCTATTCAACGAGTATGATGAGTGATTATTTCATTCTAAATCAGAACCAATTCCTTGTTTTCATGGTTCCTCAAGTGAGGTACATTTCCCGATGATGAGTTATGTGGATTTGATTCATGGTATGAGACGAAGAAATATAATGTAATAGCTACAACCAAAACTGACTTGAAGCATTATTTAATAGAACGTTTGTCTCCAAGAAGCAACTCTTTTAATATCTAAGATTGGTGGAAAGCTAATAGTGTCAAACATTCAACTCTAGCAAAGATTGCACGTGACATATTGGTTGTTCAAGCAACTAGTGTTGCATCTGAGGCATCATTTAATAGTGGAGGAAGAAAAATTAATGATGTGGTTCTTTCTTAACCCCTAAAACTGTAGAAGCGTTGGTGACTACACAAAATTGGCTACCGTCAAGGAAACAAAAAAAAAATGAATGAGTGGATCGGTTGGACTTTGGGTTTTTTAAAGATGCATTTTGAATTTGAAGTCTACCTTTTCTCATGTAAGTTTGCAATCATGGACATTTTTTTGTTTTGGAAATGTTATTTATATACAAGGGCGGAGCTACAATGTAGCCCAGTCTAGCCCGGGTTACCCGTCAAAAATTCTCATCAAATGTAAATTTAGTAATTTTTTTTTTCGAAAATCCATTGGAAATCCGTCACTAATCTGTCGGCAATCCATCACAAAGTCTGACAACTGTGAATTTAGTGTAAACTCGTTGGTTCAGTGACGGAAACTTTCTTCGGAAACAAATTTTTTTTTTCTAGTAGTGCGACCCCCTAAAACATTTGTGCAGCTCTTGTCTGGATCTGTCACTGTTATATGACTATAATTGAAGTTTATTTTGGAATGAATGTTGTTTTGTTTTAGCGATCATGTTATATGTGTTTTAATGCATAATTATAGTCTAAACTTAATATTATAAATGGATCGGATGAAATGGTTGAAATTCGTTGATCCAATGGATAAAGATATAAGTTTAATCATTCAAAACCCTACAAGTTATGAGTTGGGTTTGGATTATCATTTCAAAATTGCTTAACGGGTTTGGATTAAGGCTGCTCCGCTCTAAACACGTTCCATTGTTAGATTTACTTATTAACTTACCTAATTGTTTTTAAATTTTGTAATTGGTTCAGCCAATATTTTTATAAATCACACTGAATTGACTTGAGTTATAAATAAGCAAAAAATATATTTTTAATTGGCCCGATTTCTTTACTGGGTCACAGCCAATCTATTCAACCTGTTAAAAAACACCATAATTTTTTTTTTTTTTTTTTTCTTTTACCTTCAATCATTGATAATTTATGATATTATAATTTTATACTAAAAAGACAACTTTTTCTTAAGTTTGACCAAAAGAATGAAAAGGTTTATTTTCAGGATAAATTCCAATCATTCTTACTCTGTCTCCTAACAACTGATAACTTTGATTCATTAGAAAGATATTTACATAAATAACAAATAAATAAAAGTTTGTGTGAGACAAGTTAAATGTAAATTTTTGAAAAATAGAAAACATCATGGTAAATTAACATTAAAGATAATTTAATTGTAGTATATTGTTATTTTTTTAACACTTGAATGGATTTTATAAAAGATTAGGCAAAAGAAGTTTTGTATTGATCTGATTAATTCTCTATATTTGATACTAAACACAGTGTGTTAGTAATATAAATTTTGTGTTACTATGGTAGAAAATATATAAGAAAAAGAGATGCAATAATTTCAACATAGGATCCATTGTGATTTGATGCATCCCCCATAGTCTCATGTCATAATCAATCCTGCAAAGCTTCCCAACCAGAAATGGCCACCAATTGCTACCATTAATGCCTTCCTACATTCCATTTTAATTCCAATATCCGTTTACACTTCAAATATTTGTTTAAATGGGTACCCATTTCCCCCAAAAACTATACAAAAATAAACATATTAAATGTATGTCCAAAGCAAATATAACATTTATATACAAAATTCATTTACTCTTCCTATCTGAATCAAATCGATACCAATTTTGGATCTAATACAATTCAATCCGTCCTAATATTGACATTGATGTTAATTGTAACTTTTTTCTGAATCGACCACTACCTTTATCTATACAATGATTGTTTGATAATAAAAAAAAAAACATCGAACATTGTACTATCACGAATGATATATCTCACATTAACACTTATCATGAACGAGTATATTCATGATATTTTCTTTCAATAATAATATTTGAACGGTGACAACTTCACTCTATATATTTATTAAAGAAACAAATCTTATTTATGTTTTATATTTAACAGGCCAATAAAAATGTTTTGTTTGGTAAAAAAAATATTTGATAAGTTAGTTGGAAAATACAAAATGATATAAAAAGACAAATGAAATAATAGGTTAATTAATTATATATTAGAAATATTTTAAGAAACTCTTAAATGAGATTTTATCGGTCATCCAACAAATTTGGCTTGATTTTTCCGATCATATATATATATATATTTTTTTTAACGCAAAACAAACTATAAAACTGGTAAAGAAAAATTAAATTATTATTGTAACAATATAGAAACTGAAAAAATAGCCTTCAACACTAGACTCTAAGATATTGTCAACATACGAGACACACAATAAGTCGTATAATAAGATAAACTCCAACTGGATGTTATAATGCAAGAAAAGACGTGAAAAAGAGTCATTTTTCGTCCATAAACTCTTCACATCTTATACCATCCAATTACCAATTGCCACGTGTCCTTTTCATTTATCTTTCTATTACGATATAATTTAAATATATTTCTATTTGCAATCATAATACATGTAAAAGCGAACTAACTCATAACAAATTCTATATATAAATTGCATACATCAAAAGCCCAAATGACAAATCAGATATCTGTACCTCTTAAGGGCATAATAGTAAATTACCCATTTACCCTCAGCTCGGCTTAACCGGCGTCTGTAACATAGGGAAAAATGTCCAATTCTTTTCGGACCCCAATGCCACACCAACACCCGGATTCATGTTGTCAAAATTAAAATCCCGATGCCCTGATGAAGTTCTAGAAGATTCTAGATTGTTCACGAGATCCAAATGAGTCAAGTCAAACGAAACCCTATGGTCAACCAACGTTTCTCCCTTGGGTGAATTCGTTGCTGAGTTGGCAAGCGACGCCACCTCAGAAATCTGACTCATTTCGCCTCCATTTGGGGTCAATGAACCCGACCCTAATCTCGAACCCAATCCATTTGGGGTCAATGAACCCGACCCTAATCTCGAACCCCATCCATTCGGGGTCAAGGATCCGGAACTCAATCGTGAACCCAATTTCTTCGTGTTGTTATAAGGCTGGAACTCGTATTGTGAAAATGGGAACTTCTGATTTTGTTTTCTCGCACGTGCGAGCGATGACGTCAGCAACTGTGCGAATGGGACTTCGGGGGATGAAGGGGTGGTGATTTGAACGGATTCAGGAGGGGGTGTGAAGGAGGCGGTGGAGGGTTCGGTTGTGTAAGTTGAAAAGACAGGGGGTGAAACTAGCTGAGTCTCGTAAGCGTAGGGACCGATTGTGAAAATTGATGACGCGACTCCTTGGGATTTGAACGAGAGTAGACCGACTGGGGAGTAGGAGGCTGAGGGGGGATCTGATTGGAGGAACGACGCCGGAGAAGACGGCGGAGCAATGAAAGGGAATACGACGGTGTTTGTGGTGTTCGTGTTTTGGATTGTTGATGGTGCTGTTGGATTGGATGTTGTTGATGATTCAGGAGCTAAAAGGGCGTGACTGATTTGTTTGCTTTGTTTGTATGATCCGAAACACCAGTATAGACTCCAGCAGCTGCTCCATCTTCTTTTCTGATCATAAAGATATCATAAGGAATGTGAATAATTTATAATTGGATCATATGAAGTGGATAGAACAAAACAGTATGTGATGATTGAGTTTCTTAAATTGGATCTACAGGTATATTTGAGTAGGAATCGATCTTAAATCTCGCCATAATTGTAGAATTGAAAAGAAGATGAATGATCCAGATTCCAGGCAATTTATTGCATCCAATCACTAAAAGTCGTACCTATTTGGAGTAACAATAGTGAGAAAAATGAATATTATTCAGATGGAGCTTCAGAAGTGGTCCATCTATAATTAAATTCATAGCTTTTCCAATAATTTGAGAAAACTTGTGATTTTTCAATTCAGCAGCTACACCTTCTTCAATTTCAAGCGATTATACCACTAAATTATACACAACCGATTTAACAAAACGAAATTTCACTACCGATTGCACTTGAGAAAACGGAAAATGAATCGATCAGAATCGTCATGTAGCAAACGGAAACGTTCAAAATATCAAGGATTCATTTGCTGTATCGATTCGTCAAGTTTTTCAACACATATACAGAGAAATCAAATCGGTTTCAAATTGGAAACAAACCTGAACGGAGGTCGGCTGAACGCGGCTCTCGGCGGAAACTATAGCGGTGGCTGCAGCGTTTACTGTCTCGACGCTGTTATTAACCAAACTCATATTGATACAATCTGTTCCACCGTCAACGCCGACTACGATTCACGGATTTGCCGATGATACATGGACGGAAAACTATAGGTTGATCAGAAATGCCACAAAAAATCATACAATAATCGAAGAACATCACATCAACTACATAAAGTAAGGAACAGAATTAAAAATAGTGATGATTTAATTAAAAAGTCTATGAGAAAAGGGAGGATGCACACGACGCCCCTGTCTCTCTCTCTCCTCTTCCTCTATCTAGCTGTGATTTTGTAATTATGTCGCACGTAACGCTAAGATTTTAAATATTATTTAAATAAGTGTATATGGTTGGTGGTAATGATGAAGTAATTAACATAAACATTGGGGTTTGATTGGTAAGATCATGGCAAATTGCCAAATTGGAAATGTTCTTCAACTTTATAATCAAATAAAGATATATATTAAATGTAAAATAAACATATTTTAATTTGAAAGATATTCTTTAATCTATGGTATATATCTTCAATGATCAAATAAGAATCTATTTAATATTAAATAGATTTCTATTTTAGATAATAAGTTTTTTAATTTGATACTAATTTATGAGATAAAACCAACACCAATTTTACCATCAAAAAATATCTTATCTTTATAAAAATTAGAATAAATTTACACTAAAGTGTATTTTCATATATAAATTATAATATATGAATTATAAAATTATAATAGTTAAAAAAATAACAAACAAATTAACTACTAATATTTTAGGAATGTTGTAACTCACATGAATGAAAAATGGTCGCTCGCATTTACAAGTAGAATTTATGTACATAACGCGTCCAACCATTTAACTTACCCAAACTCTACCCTATAGAAAGAGGGTGTTATGTATTTGTCTGGTATATCTCATATATCTCTAAAAACACTTTTATATGGTTAAATGGGAATGTTGTCATGATCCTTTGAATTGAGTTAATTCGTTTTACAACACGTTATCAACACTTTGTTTAAAGTCGGACGCATTATACTCAACGTTTTATCGCTCGATGTGTAACAAAATTGAATTGTTCAAGATCATTCGCTAAGTTTTTCTTGATATTTTATGATTCCATTTTTCGGCTTCTACAAGTTTAATACCGTAAAATTACAGTAATTTGATATCACTTAGACGTTTTTAGCATACTCTTAAATATAGGGGTGTTCGCGGTGCGGTTTGGTGCGGTTTGGAGGTAAAACCACAAACCGTACCGCACGTGCGGTTTGAAATTATTGGAAACCGTAAACCGCACCACGAAGGTTCCAAACCGCGTTATGCGGTGCGGTGCGGTTTGGTACGGTGTGGGCGGTTTTGGTGCGGTTTGGTAGGCAACTTTTCAAATTTAAGTATGAGTATATAAATATTAAGTTATTGTAAACAATATATTCTAAACAATATATTGTATATGTTTTTACCTAAGACTAGAAGACGAATAACAAACATATACTCTATATACATTCTAAACAATATATTGTACATGTTCGAACGTATAATTAAAATAAAGAAAAACATATAAAGAATTAGCAAAAATATCTAATTTATTAAAGGAAGTCCTATCAAATTCACTTAAACAAAAGTTCCATTTTTTCGTATGTATGACTAAATTAGTTATGTTCTTTAATTATTTTATACTAAATTGGTTATATATATATATATATATATATATATATATATATATATATATATATATATATATATATATATATATATATATATAGTGCGGTGCGGTTTGAACCGCGGTGTTGTAATTAAAAACCGCAAACCGCACCGCGTAGTGCGGTTTGACCAAATTACAATCCGCAAACCGCGCCGCATTTGTTTTAAACCACGTTATGCGGTGCGGTGTGGTGCGGTGCGGGCGGTTTATGCGGTTTGGTGCACACCCCTACTTAAATAATTGTTTAAAAGAAGTTTCTTATATGCTAACGTTGTATGAATTTTTCCGTAAATAGAAATTGCCATAATATCTCTTTATAAAAAAAATTCATTTAATTTCTAAAGCCATTTATATGTTGAAGGGTTTCTTTTTATACACGATGATCTGTATTTTGGTCTACGTGTGTCTGAGTTTGGCAATTCCTTTGTTTTAGATATAATATGATTGTTTTATTAGTAGAGCCTAAGGCTATATGGTGTGGCCGCGGCTTGGGACCGCGGTTCGTTCCACCTGGACCACACACACCGCCCCCAGACCGCGGTCTTGCGCGATTTTGACCGCACTACGGCTGTAGAGCACCGTGATACTTGATTGCTTGTTGCTTTATTCCATATTTGACCGTTGAACGGTCAATACTCGTGTAATTTTTTTAACCTTTACTCCATGTGTGTGTGTGTATATATATATATATATATATATATATATATATATATATATATATATATATATATATATATATATATATTTGTTAGGAGGGAGTGTGGTTTCGGTGGCATCACTCCCTCCAGCCTAACAATTCAAATAACAAATGGTCCCTACAATTCTTGTTTAACATGCCATTTTTTGTCAAAAAAAAAAACCATAAGTTAAATAATATACTCTATAATTCATTTCTATCATATTTCAATCTCATTGGTACGTTTTAAGTAGCGACTGGATGAACGGAACTCGTGGATAGTTATAATTATACGTTTTTATGAGTATATAATTACTTATTTATGTATTATAAATGTTTTTTTGTCCTTTTGGTATGCCTCAAATTGTTTAAGAACTCTAAACATTTTCATTATAGATTTCAACAGTCTTTTCTCAAAACATGTGTTTTTTTTTTAATTTTTTTTTATTTTTTATATTTATGTATTAGTCATCTACCAAACGATATATTCATATTTAAGTTGGAAAAATTATGAATAACTGATGTATGATGTATGCATAATTAACTACATATCTAAGGCATATTTTTAATATTTTTAACTACAATTATGCTTAATATGAAACAAAAGATACTTATTATGTTTAAAACATGTTTTGTTGCGACAAAGACTTGCTTGGCACAAAAGGCGAGCATACGAGGAGCTAGAAGCAGGAAATGTGACCTAAAACAAAAGAAGAAAAGAAGATGACTGAAGACCACGTCGTGGTGATTGGAATATTTAGCGACCTATATGTTGACTTGGTAGGCATAAGACTTACTTCAAGACCACGTTGTGGTCGCAGTAACTTTGACGTGGTGGCCATATTTTCACAATTATAAAACGCCATACATTAGGTTGAAATCAAGGGATGCATTCGGTTTTCAGAGGCTAATTACGACTAATAACCCTTAGAAACCTAGAAGAAAGTTGAAATTCAAGTGAAGCTCAAGATTGAAGAAGATTTAGAAGGAATTCAACATTGATCTAGTTGGTTTGCTTATTAAACTTATTTGTAGCTTATTTTACTTAGATTTAATGTGTTTTTCTACTATAATGAGAGGTTAAACACCTTTTACTTCTGTTTGGTGAAGATGAACTTGATCCACATGAGTTGATTTCAATTATTGGATGATTATATTTGATTTTACTTGTGTTTAATATATAAACCATAACATGCTTTAGTTCACGTTTTTATTGCTTATAAATCAGATTTTGTGTGTTAATTGATCATATTAATTTCATGAATCCGTCTCCTAATTGTTTATGATCATTAGATAACTAGAGTTAGGATTAATCACATCTTAGTTTAAGTAATTAAAGCTAGTAACTTTAACTATGTTAGAGAGAATAATTAGTATTAATTTGTGTTTGGTTGCTTGAATTGATCATACGAGAGTAACTCATATAATTCACAGTCCAAATTATGCTATTATCAATTTGGTGTTTAACTTGTGCATGATCATTGTTTTTTCATTCATAAATTGATAGACCTAGATATTTGATCATAATAGCTAGATAATTATTAATCAATATAATCTATCTATAAGAAATCAACTATAAGAGAAAGTGAAATCGGATCTAGGAAAAAGTATTCTTTTAATACTTGAAGTCATTTTGTTTTCGTTGATTTATTACTTGTTAGGTGATAATTAAGTTATTCCGATCTTGAAAAATCAGTACAAAACCCCAAAAATCATAGTTTGTTTGTTAGTTTAATTAAAAGTGGTTAATTTAATTAATTGGTTTCTGTTCCATGTGATCGACACCTGACTTACCTTAGCTGAACTATAATCTGACTAGGTACACTGCCTATAGGGGCATAGTCAATAGGAATTTGTTAGGTTATAAATTTAAAACAAAAAGGTACGTTTGTACACATCAAAGTTTTTGGCACCGTTGTCGGTGAACAACTTATTTAGTTATTAGTTCAATTGATTTTAGTTATTAGATTTTTTTGTGGGGTAAAAACCAGAAAAAGTTACTTTGGTTGCTTTTTTTTTTTTTTTTTTTTTTCCTGAGACGCAACCACATCGTGGTCCCGCTTCAGTGAATTTATTAGTTTATTGATTTTTATTCATTTTACGCGTTTTTGTTTTGTTTTAGTGATTTATGACCTGACTATCGAAAACTCTAGTTGTTCCTCCACTAGAAGATCCATAATCCACTTTCCACAAGAAGGACAAGAAGGGCGAATCGAGCAATACTTTCAAATCTAATACATTTGAACTTTTTTTAGAAGACTCCAAGTAAGAAGGAAGTAGGATATGATCCAAAATCCAATACTGAAGGAAGTTCAAACGATTCAGAGTTAAAGATCGAAGAAGAAGAGATGGCAGACATTATGAGAATGACGATGGGCGACTACAAGAAGAGGACACATGAAGAACATGGACCAGGTCTACTTCCACTTGAGATTCCAGCCGAGAGAAGTTTTGAGCTCAAAGGGAACATTTTATCCATGCTCAAGGACATACCTTTCTCCACGAAAGAGTATGAAGATGCTTTCAAGCACATTGATGAAGTTAAAGATATTGCAAACTACTTTCACATTCTAAATGTGCCAAGAGAATCTGTGTTACTAAGTGTAACGTCCCAAAAATAAGACACCAAAATTTCTTTTTTGATTTTATAAAACATTAATCCATACATTTTCATACACCCCAAAAAGAATAAAGTGTGGTAATACATCAAAACATATCAGAGTAATTCTCAAAATGCAGAAAAAGGTGGTGTGTGCTCTGCAATCATCCCGGGCTCTTCCCTTTCGATCCTGAAGTACCTAAAACATAAATTGAAAACCATAAGCACAAAGCTTAGCGATTTCCCTAAAATACCACATACCATACATACATAAATAAACACATAATGGGCCCCACACGTCATCAGGATCCGCCCGACATCGGGCCCCGCACGATATATAGATCTATCAGTCATTTGGCCTCGCCCATTGTACATATAAACGTATAATCATATAATCAAACAAACACATGCGATAATCACAAAGATAATAGCATACAATACAGTCATCAGGCCCCGCTCGACATCGATCCCCTTCCGAGTACACATAACACATGCAAGAGTCACACAGACAACTAACATAGTAAAATATCAAACCATAGGCCGACATTGGAGCCTTCGACCCATTAAATACATTGAGGAAACTTACCTTAGGCTGCTGAATCTCATAGATAGAAATCTGACTCTTGGCCCGCTAAGAATCCTCGTGCTATAATCACAAATAACATCCAATTAATAATTGGATCCTAACTCACACAAGGAATCCAATCTAAGGTAGAAGACATTTTACCCTTTTCCCAAAATTTAGGCCAAGGCCAAAGCCCAATCCAAATGTCCAAAAAGCCCAAATTTCAAGATAATCATCCAAGGCCCAAATATGGCCTACATTTCCAAATTAGGCGCAAACCCCCTCATGGGCCTTCAAC